TGTTCGCTTTTATTATTATTTTCTTGTTGTTGCTGAAAACTTGCTAATTAAAATTTGTCTGCCAATTGGTTTAATTAGAGCTGCAAAAGCGTAATTTAGTCTAATAGCCAAATAAAAAAAAAGAAACGAGAAAAAAACATTAAAGCCACAGACGTGTTTTGCATTTATATTTAATGCACTCATTTTAACAGACTATATAAATTGTTCTAAATAAAATTTATACGGCATGATTTGTAAATATTTTTAATTTCTTGCTTAATTATTTTACTGTTTTAATTTGCTTTAATTGTGTATTTAATTGTCTATGTATTTTTTGAATCTTGCTTCCCGGTATTAAACAGCCTCAAAAAGTTAAGCAATTGTTATGAAACAAAACAATAAATATAAGAAATCATGTAGATATCTTATCAATAGGTTCAGATATTTTTCCACAAAGTATTTGCCTTGTTTATATATAAAGTTAGAGGACTTGATTTGTGGCTAGCAAAGTTGTTATCTGGATTCGAACATCATAAACGTCATCATCATACTTTTGTTTGAGCTTCTTGAAGGCTGGAAGTTAGGAAAATCTGAGAAAACACTTTCACGTTTGTTCCATAGTTTATCTGTCCGAGTTCGAAAGGCGAAACTTTCTTCAAACAATTTTTCTGGCTTTTCTTTTACTACATATATTATGTGGCATTTAATGGAGTTGCTGTAGTTGATGTCAACTTGTTTGTTGTTGGTGTTTTGGCCACAGTTTTGTCAGCTTACATAAGAGTTTTGTGTAAATATTAAGCATACGCCACGTGTACTCTAGATAATATGCGATTTTACACATTGGTGAATCATCCGCACTGAGTTATTCATTCGAAAGTAGATATTAGATGTTTGAATGATGGAAAGTGGCATTATTTGGATTCACACGCAGTTCGCATGTTTGCAATGCAACTGTGGCCACAAATTGGATTTCCTGCTGCGCATTCGTATTCGGAATGGCTTTAACGGGCAAATTTGCATTTGCAAATGCAAATTTCAAATATGTATTTATAACTGGGATGCGAATTCATCAGCACTAATGGCTAGCGCATAACAAGAATGCTAAACATAGCCTGACGTTAAATACACGGCACTAGCAACACAACAGCACCAACAACTAACACCGTCACCACCACCACCACCACCACCAACCGATGCATGTAATCCACATAAGCACCACAGATAGCGCCAATAGGCCGTCTGTGCCGGCTTGATACTCTGCGGCAACTGTGGGCGAAGGACGGTTGTAGCATTCATCGATTGTGGCTGTGCCATCCGAGTCGCATACTCACTGCAAATGCTCTTGATAATGATTTGCATTTAAGCCCAGCTCCAGTAATGCGAACCCACAATTTGCACTATGCACGCACGCTAATCGACCTTGGAACCATGTCTGGATGCTGGGTGCTTGTGGCGAAATGCTAGTTTAAACAAAAACTGGCAATAGCTGGTTGGTTGCCTGGTTGTCTTCCATCCTGTTGCTAGGCTGATGAAGTTAATGCCAAACGAATTAGATTGTTTGGCAGCCCGTGAATGTCATTTATCTTCTTCAAATTTAAGCTATTCAGATACATTGATATAAAAGGGATCATACCTTTTATATAGCAGCACATCATTAAGCCAGACAATCCCAGGCAGAATCAAAATCGGGTCGTTTTTTTTTTTACTTGATACGTAAATGTTACATTTAATATAATAATACAAATTAAATAGAATAATAAAATGTAACTAATTTTTTTTCATGTAGAATACTGATGTTTGTTTATTTTATTCTTAATAAGTAAGAAATATATTTATTTCGGGTCGTCTAAAGGCATCAACTATCATCAAATATACATCTACATCTAATTTAAAAGCATCTTAAATAGAATAAATAGCTATCACGAACTTGTCACTTGGAATTAGTAATATTGGGAAGGAACTATAGGTTGGACAGGTCAAGACAAAATAAATGCTAACTTATTTACTTCCCACAAATATTAGGTTTGATTGAAAGTTATTTGTTTTGTTTTGTTAAGTTTTTTTTTGTATTATTCAATCACATAAAGGTTTTTGCGAAATTTAAGCCACAGTACGCTAACAGTATTAGCCAAGGGCCCAACGCACAAGCGACGTTTGTTTATTTACTTTGGACATTTAGAACTTTTGGCTTGTATACACTTATTTACTGTTTGCAGAAATGCGAAACCGCAAACACAACTAAAGCCCATCCCTTTCCGTCCCCTCAAAGTCGGCACAGAACACTCAAAAGGCAACACCGCACACTACTGCCATCCTCATCTTCCCCCAACTCAAATGCCAGGAGCAGCCAACCCACAAAACATGCGAAACAGGCGAATGAATGAGGGCATGGATAGTGAAGAGAGGGAGTGAGAGAGAGTGGAGGGGTGAGTGGTGAGTGGTGCTTGCATGCGAAAAGTTAAACCAAAAATACTTTACTCAACTTAAATGCTTTTCAGAAAACTGGCCCCAAAAACCAAGAAGTGGTGAACGAAATACGCTGGACAGCAAACAGCGGAAGGCGTAAAACAGAGAAAAGGACAACAAAATATGTAAAGAGGCGCCTAGCCAAAGCAAAAAGCCAGAGTGAGTGCATGAGAAGCAGTGTGAGAAAAGGGGGGGGCACACGTCAAAAGTACAAAAAACCCTCACAGGCGCAGAACTTCCCGAGTTAGCCATGATGTTAACACAATTAAATGGGTGACTGCTTAAAGGGACAGGGACAGGGACAAGGACAGCAACAGGGATGGGGACAGAGACAGGCAGGGGGACTTGATAGCGACTGAGTGGAAGCAGTGGAATGGTGCACGATGACCGGCAAGTCAGTGCAGGATGTCATCTTAAGCACTTGCCTCGGCTTCCTATTTTGATGTCATTATTTTTCATCTCCTTCAGCAATGCATATATATTTTCTTTTTCTTCGCTTTGTTGCTAGAAAAGGACAGTCATTTAAGGCATTTTGCCAGCTTTTTCGCATACAAATATTACAAAAATTGTACCTCAAGTGGCACAAAATCAGCAATAAAGCAGAAGAAGAGCACTACAAAAAAAGTTAACGACACAAAACAAACAACAGCAAACAATATTGTATCAGATTTTATGAGATTCTTTGGCAGTCATTTTTCCTTGCAAAGTATCTGCTGTTGTCGTGTGCTGAATTTGTTGAGTAATTTTATTGCAACACAAAAGGCAGCATTGTGTAAGTAGGGTTTTATTTTTCACTGCAGAGTTGAATAATTATAATTATAGCATAAAAAAAAACCCAATAACACTTTAGCGAGAAAGTACCTGACACAAAATCGCCACTACCTAAGTAATTGTTGTTCGTAGCACTTGTACACTTGCACTTGTATCTTTTTTGCATTTTTTTTTAAAACTGTTGAAATGGTTTTGGCAGTTTTTTTTACGTGGCTTTTAAGGTCTTAATGGTCTTCTTGCCGTGGCTTTATTTACCCTTATACTTATGCCGTTTCTTGTACTCAGCAGCTGTGAATTATTTGGACATCAGTTCTGGGTACAAGGCGAAATATATAAACTGCCTCTGGATGTTTCTCTTATTATGCCATATACTTATCCAAAAATGGATAAGGGGAGTATAATAAAATTATAAAGTTCCTTGTAATAAGGCTGTTAATTTATATAGTATATTAATTGGCAAATTGAGTCAATCAATTTATTAAATTGATGCTTCAATATGTAGTCTCCCGATTAACATACGCAAAAAAAAGTTTATTTAATTATTTCGACAATTTATCTTTGGAGAATGAGATAAAAAAGTAAATATTTAATTATTTTGCGTACGTCATCAAATGACACATCTGCAATTTTTAGTTGTTTTATTATTTACTTGAATGGTTTACCTGAAGCCATTTTAAAGATAATATTATCGGGAATATTTTTTACATCGAGACACTTAATCTTTTTTTGAGTTACTTGCATTGTTTGCTTGGGTGATGTTCATGATTTCGGTTCTGGAAAGTTTGCGGACTATTGTATATGCCTCGCAGTATTTCGCATCTGAGCACGGGGTGCCTTCGAGTTGGGCTCTTCCACTTTTACACTCTTACTTTATTTTTGTTTCCGCTGTAACTTGGCTGTGGAAATTATCCTTAGACCGACTCCTTGCTCTACAAATTTTACGTGCTATTTCGCATTTTTTTTTTCTCTCCTTGTCCCCCTTTTTTTTTTGTTTTTTTGTTGTGGCTGAGTGAGATGTGATTTCCGCTGCAATAAAATAGAGCGTCTACCTTAAAGGCTTTATGACCCCGTTTTGTCGACGACTGGAATTCGTCATTTTATGGTTACGGTTGCTTTTCTCTATATTTTTTTATGAACTCTCTGCTCTTTTTGGCCATAAGTGTTTCCCATTCGGTTTATAACGCCGACGACCCATTTTTTGTATTTTATTTTTTTTGTCTCTTTTCAATGATGGGTTGAATATTTGGGACCCAAAAATATTACCATAAAATATTAAATTACTTATGCACATCCATACGAGAAAGGATCCTGAACTGATTCTATGCCTGCTGTGAATGGGACCAATTTCTTCCTGTCATTGTCATAAGTATCTATTTAAAATGTTTCCTTTGAATGGATTTGATTTGCACGGTATAATGTTATAATAGTCAGTTGTATGCACAAAAGCCGAAGAGCTTAACTTCAAACGGAGGAGGATTTACACTGACTCTATTTGAAATCTCGGTCGGTTGACTAAAGAAGTTTGAGACACATGGCAATTTTAATTAAAGTTAAAAGGCCATAGAAAATACTTAGAATCGTTAAAGATACTCAAAAATATATGGCAATATTACAAAAAGCAAATAATAGCATAATCGATCCACTATTTATTATTTATAGACCACAAATATTTTTGCAATACTCTGCTTTAAATAGCTAATCCAAATCAGCACATTAAAATCAAATTAATTCATGCATACAAACTATAATAATTAATACAAATTCCCATTTGACTTTCACGTGAATTTATTGAATTGTATTTGTAATATTCAGATTTAAGTTTATTTGGATTACAATAATCTAATTATTGATCTGGTTCACAACTGTAAATGGCAACATCTCTTAGATTTTGATTTATTCATCAGAAATTGGTTTGTCTTAGTATAAAGGTATATTACATTATTCATATATATGTTTTATTATATTATTTGCATACTCTGTTCCAAATCTAAGAACTAGTATCTTAGTTGTGTGCAATATTCTCTTGCTCCTGTAGAGCTTGAAGCTTCTTTACTTGTTTGTATTCTAGTTAGACAAAGTGCTATGATTTGGATGGCGGATATCATTCGGTTTTTATGCCAGACCCACTTCCAGTCTCGCAAATGGCAGTATTCGAAATCACCTCAAGGATGTTTCCAACTTTTTAAACTAAATTGTTCATCAGTTGCACATCGGGAACAGAGTATGTTGCACAGTCGAAAAATGCCGACAGCAATTGTATTTCACTTTTTTAATTGATTTTCTTCATTTATTTATCTTAACAACTATAACATACACAATCGCACCTATGTATGTGTGTACATACACAGTGGTATGCAGGTATTTGCTAACGATAAACTTAATTATAGAAAGTTGTACCTTCTCTGCTTCTTTTTAACCTTGCCTCCGCTATTTACAATGACGCATTTAATTAATCTCTAACCTAAGTTACATAACTGCACATTGCGCAAAAGCTTACAAATAATTGAAGTCCGGACTGGCCGCTCAATAAGCGAGTCACGTCACAGGCAACGTCTTGGAGACCACCAGCCAATCCGTACACCCCCGCCCCCCCAGCCACAGTCGGGGCTGACGCAGGACCAATACCAACACAAGCAGTAGTAACAGGAACGTGCTGCGCTTCGTACGCTCGGCCACTCCGGACATGATGGCCGATGCGGAATATTCACCTGTTGGGAATAGTAAGTAATGTATAAGTGTGTGTTTGTATGTGTGCGTGTGCGTATGTGTGTGTTTGTGTGTGTGTGTGAGTGTGTTGCGACAGTTGCAATTAATATGAATCATTAAGCTTGATATAAAAAGAAAAAACATAATCACTCGCCATTTATCACTTCAGAGTAGTTACAACATAAAATAATGCTTGTTTATTGTAAATATAAATGTATGTATCTATGTGTGAATCTATGTATGTATGTCAGTATGTATGTATGTGTGCATAGCTATGCTGGACTTACCGCTGAGGACATGCAGGTCGACGGAGACAGAAACGCTGTTTGATGGCTGGCACGTGTAGTTCCCCGAGTCCTCTTTGCGCACAAACGGTATAATTAATGAGCCGATCTGTAAGTAATGTGGCATTTATTAATTCAATAAGACATTCGACTGAAAAGTGAAAAAGTGCAATTTGACGCCATTAACACTTCACTGTGCAACATACTGATTATTTCATAGAATGTTTATCCATTAAAAATGGGAGTAATAAAGTTGACCCGATAAGGACCACGATTTTAAATGCAGAGCCACTGAGCAAATTCCATCAAAGTCTGATCATTTATAGTCTCATATTGATCGCAGCGGGCTCAAAGAGTGTGCAACGCCTTTTAAAAGGATATTTGGCAATAAAACTAGAATATATTCAATACCTGTGTTCAGAGTATCTCGTAGTCGAGCTCAGCCGTTTACAGCATTCTTGCATGTTAATAGTACTATTACTATTATTGTATAATATAATTTACTTACAGTATTTTGATTGTCACCAACAGTGCCAAATATGTTGCGGTCTAGCTGCGTATACCAGCCGCTCCGTTCGTCACTCTCGCTGATTTTCTTCTGGCCGCGAAACCAGATGATATATTTGGGTGGATCCAGCGTGCCACGCACGATGCAGTGAAGCGCCACCTTGCTGCCAGCTTTGACAAAGCGGGTCTGATCGCCAATAAGCTCAGTCTTGGGTCCTGGAAAGTGCAAGGCACGGACTGAGTGCGCTGAAGGTTAACGAGGACTAGCAAGTGATACTCACTAATTACTTCAAGATGCACTTTGGCACTCAGTTTGGGTTCTGTGGCCATTTGGCATTCGTACCAACCAGCATCGCTGGTCTCCACGTACTTAATCTGCAGCGACCAGGTGTAGTCGCCATGCTCCTGGTAAATCGACTGGAATCGCTCGTCCCCAATAAAGGTAGACTCATCCACGCTGATAATGTGACCATCACTCAAACGTACCCACGAGACAGGTTTGTCAGACAGGCGATGAATCTGCGGCACACATTTAATATAATTGGGTTTGGCATACAAATTAAATGAATCGCGAAATATAATAAATATTTGAAAAGGCAATTATAACAATCAGAGTTTAATCTCTCGGATCATTTAAAATTATTTTTAATCTCTATTATTTAGAATTTTATTTGGCATCAGCATTGAATCAAGCCGAAGGCAATTGTAAAATCAATCATTTTTCTTTCATGCCACATTCAGTCTCTTTTATTTCTAATTTAATATGGCATCAACTACAAATCATGCCGCATTTTTATATTTTTCATTTTCATTTCCATTCTATGAGTTAAAATATTCTGACAAAGCTCGGAAATAGCGTCAGTTGGCGATTAAGTATGCCCAGAGTGCCAAGTTAACGACCTAACCGAGTATTCCAAGTATTTCATTTTACCGAGACAGAGATAAACCTAGTTCGTATTTACATATTGAAAACAAACACAAACAAAGAAAATGGATAGTGGAAAACTTGTGTTGCCTACATACACACGAATTACACAATATATATATATATATATATATATATATTCAAAAAATGAAAAACCAACAACAAGAGAAACTATTTACATTTACTTGAATGCCTGTATGTGAGTCCCTTTAACAGGTCCAAAAAAAAAAAAGATCTCGATGTAAAAAGTGCTGTAACGTATATGGCAAATACTTGTAGAGGTTATTTGCCTTGTTTACGTCATAAAAATAAACGCAAACAAAATAAATTTGTTGATATGCAAATGAAATTATGCTGAACTCGGCTCAAAGTTTTTGGCCAGACAACAGACAACAGTGGCAAGGTAAATGAGCTGCGTTGTGCCTCCGGAAAGTAAATGCGAAACAGGAAACAAAAGCAAAATAACCAACAAACTATCTGCCTACTATATAGTAAGAGACTTGAAAGGGATATCATTATAAAGTTTGCTACTGAGCTGCATCTAATTAGGGCCACATTGATTAGATTATAAATTAAAAGTTGAATTTACGTAGGCAAATTGTGAGTGATGCAAAGTCAGGTATCTGGATAGAAAACATGTTACGGGAAACTAAAATCGATTAAATGAAACTCGAACTAACTAACAACTCTAACTACAAGAGATTTCAAGAGGAGTCAAAGTACATTTTCTGTATATTTATAAAATGTTAACTTATTTAAGTGTCTACTGCTAAAAGTGTAAAGAGTTAAAATTGCATACTCCAAACAAATATTAAGTAGAACGCACGGTTCAAACGCATATGGGTCATGTGATACATCTTGTGTAAGTTTAGCCTGATAATGAGTGCAGCTGTACTTGGGTTTGGGATTAAGTTTGGTTTGAGGGGATTTGTTGTGCTGCTTGGGGTGGCAGATGAGCAACTCACCTGACATGGCATGTACGCGTGATTTCCCATTTGCGCCGTGATGTTTAGCACGGGCATTGTCAGATTTCGGAGCGGCTGCTGGCCCGGCAACAGTGCCCCATTGTGGGAGGCCAAGTACGAATGCTGCTCATTAAACATTTGTTGGCGCTGCTGCTCCGGTGACAATGTGACAGTCTCCGGTGTCAGAGTTGATGCAGCTGCCGCTGCTTCTGCGGCTACAGCGGCAGCGGCCGCCTCAGCGGCATCTGCAGCAGCGCGGTAAGCTGGCAAATCTGCGGCTGCAAACACGGGAAATGGCGGCAGAAATGTTGGTATGGAGAAACCCTTAGTCAGTGAGTCAGCGTTCACCGGATGAGAATTCTGCAACATTCCACTCTCCACCTCCTCCCCGGCCTGCTGCTCGTCGTCCTGCTCCTGCTCACCATTCGCGTCGTGCTTCTGTTCCACCTGCTCCATTTGCAATAACATTGCCGTTTCAATGGAGTTGTGGGCATCCGCTTCCGTCGTCGTCGTCGTCGTCGCCGCTGTCGGCGTCACTATTTGGCCTGTGGCAGGCGTCGCGGGTTGTTTTGTTGATGCCGGATAAATTGTTGATATGAACATTGTTGGCATCGTCGACGTCGACGTCGATGTCGACTTCAACGCCATCATCCTCGTTGTCGTAGCCGCTGTTTGTGTTTTAGCCGCCGTTGTGGGCTGCGTAGTTAGACTAATTTGTGCTGACTTAGTTGGTGGTGCCGCTGCTGCTGCTTTTGCTTCTGCTTCTGTTGATGCTGGAGTTGTAGTCGTATTCGTAGTCGCTGTTATCGTTGCTGCTGTTGATGACATGCCCAGGGTCGCGTTCCCATTGCCTCCTGTTGTAGTTGTTGTTCTTGTTGTTGTTCCTGTTGTTGTTGCTGCTGTTGCGGTTGTTGGCTTTTTCGCTTTCAGTAATGTTGTTGAGTTTCGGGCTGTCGTAATTAGATCGTTTTGTGCTGTCATTGGGCTATCTGACAGAGTGGATCTCGGGTATGTCGTTAGCTGCGGCTCTGTGGCAATTGCCTGGACGTACGCTGAGTCGCAGGTGACAAGGTCTGTGGGTAAAACAGAAACACACACACACATTCACAAATTGACTCCACTTAAATGAGCAACTGGCAGCTGCGATAAAAACATGAGTAATGCCCACATAAAATATTTAGGAAGGAAGGTAAAATAAATGCAAAAAATCTAGTTTAAACCGAAATCAAACTAACAGACCTCTGTGACCTAAATAAATAATTATTTCATAAAATTCTATTCAAAAAGTAAATAAATTACATTACATTGAAAATATAATTACTAACAACAAATTAATGTGATTAATTTTTGTTTTGTATTCGACAGCTCAAACTAGCTGAAAACCAATTCAAGCATTTATTTGAATAATTGCCACATTAAATAGTTTAAAAGCAGCTTATTACATGAATAATTAAAGAAGTACAAAAAATAAAATAAATAAATCGCGATCATCTAAACAAATACAAAATATGACCACAAGCAATTTGTGGACATTTAAGCGCAGTTAAAAAACATTTTTTTCTAGGCCCATAATGACTTTAAGGCTCATGCATCATAGCCTTGCCGCATATACGTGTTTTGCCAACTTTATTAGTAACTGTATACACAGGTAAAGCTCCGTGTTACTTGTTATGCATGTATTTTGTTTCCGTTAATTTTCAATTACGCTTTTATGCTAATTAAAATCATACAATTTTTTTGCCGCTTTCCGTCGCTGCTGTCACGCTGCTTTCAGCTTGGCAGTAGGCATTTGTTGTTGTGTCATAGATGAGGGGGAGGGGTGCGTTTTGGATTTGGCCAACCATAGAAAACTTTTTGCTTTTTCCTTTTGCCGGATACAGTACTCATACGAATATACGAGTGCTCATGAGTATTCAGTAAAAAGTTGCGACACGTTTATAATTATTTAAACTTTTGCTGCTTGAAATTTTATTTGCCAACTCTTAACGTCATCATGCACACAAACACGCAATTTAATATGGTTTCAAATAATATCAAATATTTATGTATGGCAAAGCCCATTTGCATTTTGGATTTTCAGTTATTCCGATTAAATTATTTAAAAGTATTTTAACATACAAAATGGACAAATTTGTGCAAATTTAATTGAAAACTCAAATCCCAATGCTGCAAATAGTTCATATTGAGAATGTTAATAGGCAGCAGAGTTGCGCAAACTGTATTAAAAGATTAAAGGTTAATCACTTCAGGCAGCACATTTTCTCACAGTTTCTCTGTTTTTCTTCACCAAACTAAACAGTGTGAGTGTGAGTATGTGTGTGTGTGAAACAGTTTTGCCAGTGATTAGCTTCCCATACATCTCAACTTTCTGCCTGCAAAAGTTGCTGTCACGACCCTCAAAAAGACTTGTCGCCTCGGGGTCAATAGGCAGCAGGAGACGCTGCCAACCGCTGCCACTTGTCGAAGAGGCAAAGCAAAAAAATAAAGAGAAAATGATGAGGGCGTGAATTCAGAAGTCGAAGTCGTTCATGTGGAAAGTTTAGCAAGCCCCACAAATTGAGCTGGCGACGATTCCAAAACTGTTTGGAACAAGTTACATGCGAAATTTTTCTTTTCTTACTTTTGTCGGTTTTGTTTGAGTTTTGTATTACAAAACGATTAATTTTAAGTTGAACTTGGGATTCAATTTGCCATTTCTCTTATGAGAGCTTTAATTTAGTTTCAATTTTAAATGACATATTTATTTATTAAGACTGCTAAACTTCTTTTGTAATTCCTTTTATTCTTTGGAATAAAATATATATATTATTAATATATTATTATAATATAAGAACCAAAAAATTAACATAATCCCGATATGACTTGCCTCCTAAGCAGTTAATTGTAAGAAAATATTTTGATTAAATGAAATACGAAAATCTTTAACCATCTTCGCTAATATGGAGCATATTGAAGAAAAAGGTCAAAACACTTTTATCCTGTCCAAAATGTAGACCTGCCCAAAGGTTGGCCAAAATAAACTTTCCACTAAGTAGGAATCAGTCGTCTAGTCGCTGGTTTAAGTTGATTGCAGATTTTTGGCTAGATTTCAATGCGCTGATAGCAAAGAATTTGCATTTTTAAATTATTTCACTTTACGTTCTTGTCAGACCTTGATATAGGTACAATTTCAAAATGATACTAGCACGTTGGCTCACCGCTCACTGCGTATTTTTTGTTCATTTTTCAAGTTTTCGGTTTCACGAAAGCAAATGAAAAATCGCCCACAAAAAAACCGCATACATTTTTGGTACGAACGGACGAATTTGAATGTGAATGCGAATGCGTGAGATTTGGGCGTGGTGATAAGGTATCGGGTCGGCAGCCAGTTAAAAATGTAAAAAGGTAAGAGAGAACCAGTCCCACAAAAAAAAAAAAGAAAGAAAGAAAGAAAGAAAGAAAAGTAAAATACTTCCCGCCGCAAATGTGAAATGTTGTAAAAATGCAAATTGAAAACGAAACGAAATAGTAAATTTTAAATCTACATCGACTTCAACCAGAACCCTGTAAAACCCATCACTCAGCTTCTGGTAATTGGTTGCAGTTTTTGCTTGGTCTGCGGAAAGGTTTTAGCTCTTTGTTTGTTTGCGTGGTGTCAAGATACAAATCTATAGATACACGCAAACGTCGAAATAGTTACTTTTGCTCGAATTTTCAATTAAAGTGGATTAAAGCCAGTAAGCTGTCCCAAGTTCAAAGCTTTAGAACTGCTTCAAAAGCAGTTTTTGCTCACATATTTCTTAAGGGATTGTATCTATTTTTTTTTAAAAGCAACTTAAACTGCTCGTGTATACCAGTGATATGGTTGATTTTCGCTTCTAAGCCGATTAATTTACAGGCCACAACGCAAAAGCGAATTCCGGCGTGTGTTTATCTAATTCGAGGGACCCTCGAGGAACGAACAGGCCTTAAGGGGGGCGCACATAAAGTGTGATCTCAACACTTATTGCACTAGGCGACAAAATGGCGACAGATGAGAGGCCAAAGGCGACATGCGACAAGCGGCAGACACAACACCCCCATCTACAGTGCCAACAAAATAAATACAAGCAGCCAGTATACGGCTCCTGTGCTTTCCTGCCAGGACATGTAAGCGAAACGTGCAATAACACTTAAATTGTTTTTGTTGAGTTTTTGGCCATCTATTTGAATTGCCCGACGGCATGGTAAGTGGCTCGACATTTCCTCTCCTTCCTCCGTGTCACTGACATTCCAACGACCACTTCAAACTCTCTGGCAGTAGTTTGTTTTAGTCGTCTTCAGTGGCCACAATACTTGGCAAGGTTCATAATTTAAGACTGTTACCAAAATGAACAAGCGGCTATCCAAATTTCTCTCTCTCTCTCTCTCTCTGTTCTTGGTTAATCTGCACGCAAACTGAATAGTAATGCTCTCAAATGAGGCCGTGTATTAGTCAAATTAGAACTTGTGCTCTCGACCACTGCAACCGCCGCAAAAACCCAAAGCACACTCGCACACACACATACACACCCACACACACACACACACACTCACTCGCGCATACCTCAAATTGATTGCGTGTGTATGTAAATTTAAATTTCTGTTCAAACAACATAATGCGCACTTCAATGGGCTCGTCAACTTAATCAGCAACATTACCCGAACATGACGTTAAGCAGTGAAACATTTCCTAAGATATGATAATGATATACAAATTCTTATAGAGACTTGTATAATAATATACATAATATTAATCTAGGACAGTCCCTAAAAATGTCATAAGCAGCGGAACATTTCATAAAAATGATAATGATGTTTAATTTACTTTTAGTCATTTATTTTACTAAATTTTTTAATGTGGAATGAAATTTTACAGAATAAAAATTGTTAATTTAATTTCCAAAATTAAATTATACGCAACTGAAAGTGAATGAGGAAATCTAAATTTAAAATTAATTAAAGTAAAGGATATAAAGAATCTGTGCTGAAGGATTGGGGAAACGCAGATATAACCCACTCAGACCAATCCTTTTGGAGACTTTTATAAATATGTTGACTCTTATTATAATATATATTTCAACTTTGAAAATATATTATTATTTTTATTATAATTTGTAGATAAGATAAGATAATTAAAAGCCACATATGACATGAATATTTTCTATATTACCTTCTATCTTTGATAAAATAATACCCAATTTTATATGTCCTGTTGTCTTTAATAAAAATGTAACAAAAATTTTCTGTCCATCGTACAGAGAGTCCACAGGTGCAATATTTTATTTATGAGATGCTCATTTACAGCTGTAATTGAGACCATTTTCCAATGCAAATACTGGTACATGTAGTCAGTTACAGGAGCAAGCGGAATCGTATGGTGTGTTGGCCGCAGTTCCTTGACCTTTTATAAATTTTTATTTATTTTACTGCCCGAGAAGCGCTTGGTATGAGTTTCGGCATAATTTTAGATTATGATAATTTGATATTAAATAAAGTATTTATAGAACAGATGAGAAACACTTTATTAGAATATTACGTACCACATAAATCATTTTTCCATCGTATACTGTTTCCAAACATAATTTTGGTTTCCAATTAAAGTCTACTTAAATGTTATTATAATTACTATCGAAACTATTAAAAGCCATGAAGCCATGCAAATACTAAATCATATTTTAATAGTGCTTTCGCTGAGTTGCCTATCCTGCAGCAACTACTTAAATTCCATACAGATTTTGAATACTTAAATAATGCACGACTACACATAATCTCAAAAAGCTCATTACGAACTGTTAACATTAACATTCATGTGATTCTGCACATATGTCTCTGTCTGACCCGTTAAAGGTCAATGGATTAATTATGATTTCATGCTTAGCGGCGTTTTGTTGGCCATTTGATGCGTGCACACGTACATCATTAGCGGACCAACAAAATTGGCAAGAAGTTTAGCGCAAGCGGCAGGCATAACTTTTTATGCGCTGCTGCGGAGCGGCGCATGTAATTATAAAAAAAAAAATATGCTTCTGTAATTTGGAGACGCCGAGGGCTAAAAGTAATTACATATCAAATA